CCCCCCCCCCCCCCGCGCAGGACGATCATTGACGCCCGCATGACCCGAAGATGAGAGCGTCGGGGTGCAACCGTTGGACGATACATTTTTGAACATCTCTCCAGTTTTCGTTTACAAACAAACATGCCATTAGTTGTGTAAACTTTCGTTGTTGCTGAAGCAATGACTCCAAACCAATGTACCTCCTCGAAGTAGGCGGAGTTGAAACACAGAATAATGTCGATGCCGAAAATGACATCGACTATGTAGTCGAAGATGAGCATTGCCCCGCTTGCGTCCTGCCTGAAGGAGATCCGCCACGGAATGACCACGATGCTGTACAAGATCATCGCTCCCACGAACAAATCCCAGTACAGCTTGCGAGGGTCCTGAGTTTGCCGCGTTTACGTTCACCAAGAGACGGGTTTAAACCGTTTGAAGTAAGTTTCGCGTCGATCGTACAGGTTTGTTTATACCCTAGATGAACCATGGACTAATGAAGGGTGCGATAGACTTCAACTTTAGCGTTGTCGCACAAACCGTCCGCTAGAAAATGTTTCGGCGGCAACAATTTCCCCAAACGAAACTTCGTAAACTCTAGGAGTAGATAGACAAAGTTCAACAACAGCAGCCATGACATCCTCTCACGTTGGGGTGCACAATAAAAGTAGTTTGGTCGGCGGCTCGCACTTTAGCGGCATGCACTCTCTTCTTAATTTGGTTCGTCATGTTGATGCCGAGCTTTTTCCCAGAGCTTGCTGCGAGCACCGCGCTCGATACGGCTTCTATCCTGGTCTTCTCCCTGCGTGAACGTCATGGCGTTACGTGCGAGACCGGGTTGACTTGTCACAACTACATCCAGCCCACGTGACAACTTTTGCCAACCCGCCGTGGTGCTTGTATTTTACCTATCAGGTGATTCCTTCACATTTCTGCCATCCCTTCCATTCCTTCGGTAGCAAAAATGACCATTCCGCATCTTTGGTGGACATTCACAGGTTCGACTGGTTTTCCTGCTGTGAACCGCAGCTGAATGTAGGTACAACACAGACTAATATTCCTCTCTGTGAATGACGAGGGGTATATCGAGAATTTCCGTCATTTTCGGAGAAAACGAGGTGCTGCAACCAGCGTACCTTCGTAACAAGGGCCCACCTGATACATGAGTCAGTTATGCAAAATCGCGACGTAGCAATTAACCAATTTTGCGGGCACGCTGAATGTTGACTTCTCCGGTGATCTCCTCCCAGAATGGGATAAGAGTAAGCAAGTAATCTGCACAGCACACAGAACTACTTCTACTGCTGTAGATAGGCGAGTGGGTATCCTGTACACCCCGATCTCTCTTCTGTTGTGGATCTCTGCAAGAGTATGTAGACTACTGTAGCCTACATATTTCTCCTGTTAAACTACAGACTAGCGTAACACGCATGCCATCACCAGCACGTCTCACCTCATTCGATTTACAAGGCCGACTCTGGTCTCCTCCCAGAATTGCCCCAGGTCTTCCTCGCCCTTCCTGCGCAGCGCCCGTCTGCTGTGCACCTCTGCATTATGGTCGGTCTCCACAGCGGCAGCGATGTCCGCGGGCGATGACTGTCCGATGCGGTCGAAGCCAACGAGGAAGGAGATCCGCGACATGCTGGAAATATTCGGCCAGTTTGTCTACCACGAGCACCAGTCAGAACAGTCAGAAAAGTGAAGAAAGGCACCCTTGCCACAGGATACGTGTGCTTGCTGTCTCATTGAGTACCGAGGAAGAAGAACTTGTGACGCGAAGAAGGTGGACGAAGAGGTTTGCGAAGACCATATCCCCCACACTTGCACACCGAAAGGAGACCTTTCGTAGGTGAGCTTTCGTGTGTATTTCTCTTTCAACCGCTCTGTCTGTCTTTATCTGTCTTCGTATGCGTCTCTCCACTCACTCGCCAATCTCTCTAGGCCTTTGCTCCATCGGCCGTTTTGTTTGTATGACGGAGAATAAGAAGGTGAAATTTACTTGAAATTAGTACAGAAATAAAGTTTATGTCTCTAAATCGATAATAAAACGACCGATGGAGCAAAGGCCTATTAATCTCTCTTCGTCTTCCGCCAACGGTTCCACCGTTCCAGCAAAAAAATATTTCGCCGCAATAACCACCGTCGAACCGTTCACTATCGCGCCGCACCGCGCAAAGCGCCGCATGCGGCAGAGTGTCTGCCTGTCTGCCTTTGACTGCATTAAGCAGTAATTGCACGCGTGTTAATATCTTATGATCTTGTTTGTGTTTCACAATTTCGACTACTGTACGCGCAGAGGCTATGCACTAACCGGGTCGCCGATGGAAAACCTGGTTACAGCAATAGACTACAGCAGTAGTTCTCCCTTCTTCCCCTCGCTCCTCGACAAGCTTTTGCTTAGACATGGGTTGTAGTGAAGGGGGGGGTCTTTCTGGCGAGCAGGGCTAGACTCACCCTCAAGGGATGACCGAAACCTTCTTGCTGCTGCGCATATCCGCCGCGAGGCATGCGCGTGGTGGTGTAGTTGGGTCGGC